GCGACATAAACCAAAGTCGCAACACTTATTCAAATTAGCAGACCTTAGGTCAACACTGCCAGTCAAGTACTACATATCATATTTGTTTCTTTTTGTCAACCTTGTTAATTAAGCAGATTTCGATATTCTAAACAAGCACATTTTAGGAATTATAAATATATTGTAAAAAAAAAGTGAAGAATTAATAATGTGATTTTGTAAAGAAAACACTCTCAAGGTTGCTCTCCATTATTTTTAAAAGCACAGCATTACGCGATAATGTGACTCGCGCGTCAAACTTCTGAGCCTGGGTTGTAGGCTGTTTCAACAAATTTTCGATTAATACAACAAACATTCGCCTGAGAGCACCAACATGTCGCACTTTCCCATGATTGTTTATGTACGTTAGCTTTCAGTATCCACATCCGAAATTGCTCTAATTAGATCAATTGTTCCTTTTGTTAGTGTTGCACTTTTCCAGCAAACTTCGTTTCATGTGAAGTTATAATTATATCTACTTTTTCCGAAACTTCATGGCCAATCATTTTCAGTTAATTATTTCCAGTACATTGGAAATTTACTTTCTCACATATTAAACTAACATCCTTCAGTTTGTTGAAAATGTCACTATATATAACTATCTGATTAAAAATGGTGGGAAATGCCAATGTCTTTATTTTGATATATTTGAAAACGCGATAGTACTTCCTACACTTATTTCTTTTGCCAGTTGCTCTTAATGTTCCAGTATACACAAGTTAATGATCTAAGGCTTAACTTAAGTTTGACATTCAGGCGCATTGTGACCTTCCCGTTTACATTTAAAACAAACAGTAGCTGCAGGTATGCAATGCTCTGCTAAATGATCTTTTCCTTCGCGTTTGAAGACTTTATTTGGAAAATAAATTGCACCTTCACCCATATACCTTCTTTTAATCAGCAGGAGTTTAAAAGCTAGTGCTTTACCCGTCATTCTACTGGTTTTTTATACACTTTCAGCTTCTCTTTGTTTATCTAAATCCTTAGCCTGATACAGAATAGTTTTGTTCTGCTTAGAGCCAGGAAAACCGTCCCGTAGTGAATTGAATCAAGCTTTCTTCGTCTAACTCAATAGGTTTGCCCATTCCCATTTAAGTATACATATATTCTCGATAACTTTCCTTCTTTAATTGCAAATTCTTTAATAAGATCCTTCTTAGGTTGTGCCCAATTGGTTAAGCCTTTTCTAGGACGAAAGAACAATTGAACTCTTTTTTTTTCCTCGTTGGCGCGAGGAGGATTTTGTACTGAACTAGCTTCATTATATTCGAAGTTTGAATCCGTCGCGTTTAGCTCATAATGATGTGAAGCACTCTTATGCCCATTACTACGCGAGCCTAATTCACCAAGTTTCGTCTTTATACCCTCTACCATTAAACATAAAATTTCTTGAACGTTTACCACATCCTGTGTTTTATATGTGTATATCCAATTTATTCATATTAGTCGAATGTATTTCTTGATTCACTCAGATTTCACTCAGCAATTTGCTAAATTTCCACTCAGTCATTTAAACGCCTTTAAAGGCTCGCTTCCTCATTCGTTCAGGCAATTTTAACTTCACTTGCATATTTGTAGCTTGTTAGTTCGTTCTTGAATAAACGATTCTGATTATTAAAACATTTTTCATTCATTGTCAACAATTCTCATGCAATCGCTAAGATTATTAAGAATTTTTAGATTACTAATCTCTAGGTTGAGCACTCAAATATGTGGAGTGTCTCATGAATTCGGTTTACAATAGAAATTTTTTTTTTTGGATATGGATTAGGCCTGTACGATTCAATTTAGACTCCTAATCCAGTAACGTAAAAAGAAACCATTGATGATATTTTTATATTTTCCCGAATGGTAAAATGAGCGCTCTTTTTTTTCTTTTTGTTATGTGAAACAGGTGATGTTCTGCTCCGCAGTTGTTCCCATAAGCCTCCGTAAGGTACTGTACAGTTGAAATTCCGGCTAAGAATGCCGGACAATAAAAAAGTATAGGCAAAAGGTATATAGCAAAAATTTTCTTTTTTTTTTGGTCTGTTGAAACGGAGATGGACTAAGCCAATAGATTTTTGGCTTATATGTCCAAATAATAAACTGTTGTAATTTTTAGTCACGATTATGTATAAAACGTAACAAAAAAAAAGAGTTGAAGTATACCTTGTCATAAGTGTAATTACCCATAAGTCTACAAAGTATTTTAAATTCCAATGCTGCAAAATTTTCCTTTAGGTAAAAAGGGTATCAAAAAAGGGTAAATTTTGTAAAAAAGCCCGTCACTTTTTTCTCTTGCTAAATCATCATACTCGTCTTTCCATTCTTTAACAATAACTTTTTAGATTAGCAGGAGAGCCTCGATGGGAGTTAACGGACAAAACCATGCCATCAAACTGTGCTTCACGTGCAAAGAAATATGCTTTTTTATTGATACCAAAAGCAGTGTAACCTGGGATCCAGATTAGGTGGCATTCCTCGATGCTTGGGTCTTTAAGAGGTTGCAAATTTCAAAAACGTAGATGTAAGGATCCTTGTTCTTGATTAGCACCACAGCAGATTTGCTGTCAGAAAAACATGCAAACTTCCTAAATTTGTTCTCAATTGCAAAAAGGATTGCCTGTCTAATGGCCAGAAGTTCAATGAAGGTGGATGATAACTCTTGCAGAACTTTGAATTTTCCTAAACGCAAATTGGGATACTTTACAACTGAGAAGCTAAAAATGTCCGAATTTACTGATCCATTCATTGCGTATATTTTGAAATCATTTTCAATAGGGTAATTGAATTTTTACCGACATACAGTTCGAAGACAAGACCTTGATCAATTTTTTTTTGATTTCGTGATCGAATCAAGTATTTTTTAGTGAAAGTGAAATTAATATTTATCAAAGAAATATAAGTTTGAAGCTTTTCGCTTAGTTTCACAATAACAACTCAATTCAATAAAAATAAAAATCATAAGAATCAAAAATGACAAAAGGGCTTTCTTTGATTTGAAAAATGTTTATATGGCAAGGTGTTTTGTTAGTAGCTTGATGTATACTTCCTATATAAATAAGTAACGGGTTTTTTGCAATAGCACATGTGTGATATGGAAAAAAAAATTTCAAATATATCGGTTTAAGGTTAAAATCAGCATATATACATATAATAGCTGTTTGCATGTATTATGATCAACGACATCTATTGGTGAAAACGACTAGGTAATGCGAACTATGCGTAAATTCGGTGATCTTGCCCTTTCTCTACATAAAATAGCAGTTTTCTATTTAACATTACTGCGTTATTCAATGTATGCAGACGCTAATCACGCAATGGGCAAAATTTTATTTTCCACATTCATTACTTCAGCTGTTCCTCTGAAGAAATCTGCTGCCGAAGCCCATCAAACACTTTAATAAGCTAATGGCGATTCTGCTCCATTATATCCTAATTGTCCATTTTGGTTTCAACGGTTGAAAAGTGGTGAAGTGGTGACAATTCTCTTGCGGAGCAACATTAGGCCACGTGTTGCAAGAGTTGTCCAACATACAGTCCTGCAGCTTGATTGACAAGTTCTACCGCACTTAAGACACTCACCAGACGTAGCGTCTACTGAATACTTGTTCAGATCGATACAGCATACCTTGGCTGAAAGTCCAAGGGGAGTCGATGATTGGATCGGAACCAAACCAACATCGTTCTTTCGACACTGTATCGCCATGTTGCCAGAAAGGTCGAAAAAAGTTGTAGAAAATTGTGGAAAATGTTTTAATTAATATATTTTGCACCAATATCTCTCAATAAATGTCGTTCTCAAGCGAAAAAGTTACCAAAATACATGAATAAATAAATTATATAAAGACAAATTATTCCTACAATGCAATGTTTTGTCAATTGCAAAACATTCCTTCATAGCATGTTTATAATGAAATTTGTGGAAGCATTTGGTGAACATAAAATTTGAAATTTTCAATACGAAACAGATAATGCAATAAAATATATATATTTGCTACATACCTGCCTTTTTCCGTACATGTGCATTTATACCTATACCATACCGCCTGTACACTTAAAACGACAGTATGATTTGGCTTTGGAGAAGTTTGATATAGTGCAACAGTTTAAAAATAATGAGAAGGTAAGAGCAAGCGGCTAATTAAAAATGCTAGTATTGTTATTGATAGCATGAACACTAAAAGTTCCTGAAAGTTTATTAATTTGCGCACTGAAGATTCTGATGGCGTCGCCTACGTTTTTAGTTATCTCTAGAAATAACATTTACAAAATAATTTTCAAGTGACTTTTTTAAGGCTTACAAAGTGTAAAGAAAAATGATATTTTCAGGTATCTCTTAAATGAAATTGGAAAAATATCAGAGTTTCAAGTTTAAATAATTTTTTTTAATATAGGGCATTTTATATTCTTGTAAGCAAAGATAGAAATTACCCTACCATTGTACAGTATACCAATGATAGCTGGTTCATTACATAAAAAGTGCTATCACTGATTATCATCGAATTGGAATAATAAAATGACGGCAATGTTCAAAATCCAGCTTTTAACAATTTTTGAAATGCAATTAAAGATATCTGAAAGTAATTTAAGAAGTTTAAAAGGACAAATAATTATTTTAACACTGCTCAAAATGTTATTGTTAGTCCGGTGCTTATGCCAAAATGAATGAATGAATGTAACTATATGTTTCTTTCGGACTACTTTTATTTATTTCTAATTAAATCTTCTTAATTTGTACATGAAAATATTGTAGATATACGGAAAGCTTCGAATTCCTATTTCCCTACTAATAAATGTCTTAAAAAGCATATATAAAAATTTATATGATATTAGATATTTTAGATGGAAATTTAGTGGCCTTTTACTTAGGATATAAGCCAAAACTTACGTAATTCTTAAAAACACTTAATCCCTCTTTATGAAAACCTTTCCAAACATGGTATTTTTGTACGCATGCACATGCATACACATTTATTTTTTGTGAACGTGCGTACACATTTAAACACAGATTTGAGTGTGTGTTGAACGTTTGTGTCGCTACATCTATGTGTGCTCTTTCTATCTGCGTCTTTGTTATAATAATTCCCTGCTCATCACTAGTAAAGGACAATATCGAGCATATTTTAGCCAAATTGTTTGTGTTGCGTTTAATTCCACTTTCGATTATTATTCGTTAGAAGTACTTTTTTGTTAATTGAAATATGAAAAATTAGAAAAGTGTTGCGTATGAGTTGCTAATTGATTTATGTTGTTCTGCTATACGGGAGTCTCGGAGATATCATCTACCACTTGACTCAACAACACAACCTATAATTCGTAAAGCTTGTGCAACCGAAATAATACAAACTTGCAGAAAAGGAATTGACATTACGTACGTGTTATCTTAAGCGGATATTCTATTTGCCTTCTGAGTGATTTAAGAAGCACAAATTACTTTTTCTTTTTGTCTTTTAAACATATATTTTGGATATCAGATGGAGAAAGTGGTACCTTTAGAACACGAAAATACGGGTGATCTTGAAGATCCTGCAGATAGTGATGTCCATGCGGTAATCGAAAAGAGCTTGCTAACTCGTAATGGCAATGAAAGTGTTGTGCGTTATACACGCACTGCTTTAGTTCAACTACGCAATGAGCAGAGATCTCGAAAAAGACCGAAGTGTGCTCTCCGCACTGAGTTGCAAGCATTTTCGATATGGACGTGCCGTTTACGTGGTGAGTTGCAAAGGCTAGGTGTGTGGAAAGTATCCACAATGGACTTACAATGCGACGGAAGCTGTAAAAAAAATATATGCGGCATGATCGTGGACATTGGCAACGTTACATGTAATGCAGGCGGCATTAATGGAGATGGTAACCAATACAGCAGCGGTGGAGTTCTGCAGTCATACATACCAGACGCGTCGCTAGGGCCGTTAGCCAATAAACGCACATTGCGTTGTGGTCGTTTTATAAATCATCAAAGACGAGTTAATGAAATGAATGCAGTAATGTCTTCAGCTACTGCTCATCAAGGCCTAACTGCCAAATTTCACATTGACCACCGCAGCATGTCGTCCTCACATCTTATGCCTGCTTTTGCCAAAAAGCACATGGGTAGCATCTATCCGGCAACAGCATCATGTGCTAACGGTCTTGCTGACGGGCTTCCGGTTAGCAGCGGGGAATATGGCAGTGAAATTGGAGGCGACGAAGGAGTGGAATCTCACAACAGTCGGGAAGGTAGAATCCGTGGTAAGGATCATGAAAAATTTATCGGCAACAACTATCGCCGTTATATAGGTAAGCGTAGGCGTATTAAACAAGTTCTACGGCCTGAATTCTATATCATAATTGTCATCCAAAGTAATCTTGAATTACATATCTGAAATTAAAAACCATAGTTGAACATTAGTAAATTAGAGCTGACCTTAAGCAATTGTTTTTTTTACAAACTATACGCCAAAAAATTAATAATTTTACGCTCCAAATTCGGTTTGTATTTTCTTCCACTTTCTAATAACTTTTAGAAAATGTCATTGTCAGTACTGTAAGTGTGAAGTAATTGAAAGCAATGTGCTAACGTATTGTAAAGAAAGGTCTAAAAAGTCAATTTTTCTTATTTAAGCCAAGAAAACGAAAAATGTTTACTCCCATAAGTGCATCTTCTGAGACTAGCAGCCTTAATACGGATTGCTTCTCTGAAATTGCGTTGTCTATTTCCGTGATCAAATATCCGCATATTAACCTCCGCGTAGACTTATAGGAAAATAATTTTCATGAATGGTCGATATTAAAGCATTCAGCTCAAATTGAAATTTTTTTGCATTTTATTGGTTATCTTGTAATGGGCATTCCAAGAGGGCCTAAAAAACCTCATTTTTATATTGTTTTGCAGATGAAAACTACTTATACAAATCCAACTCTGGAAACCGTTTGAATAAAGAAGGTAATTTCATATTTTAATAAAGAAAATATAATGGCAACTATGATAAGGCCGAAAATAAAAAGACACGTTAGAGAAATGTAAGAAACTCCGCCCAAAGTTTCGGGATTTTCATCTTTACTTCCTTTCCTTGGTAATTGTCATATCTCTAGCTTGAGGGCCGCACCTTTTTACTAACAAAACTAAGATGATTTTTTCTTCAGTACAATTGAGATAAAGGTCATTTGAGAAGGACAACAAAAATGACCCGTACAACTTATTAAATTGCCATTATATTGACCAGAAGAAAAAATGAAATTCTTCTAGAAAAGGGAAATAAACAGTAACACACCTAAATATTTTAAAGATCTCTTTTACTTATTGCAATGTTGACATCTACTTATTTTCGTTCGAAATATGTACTTAATTAGAGACATAGGAAAATATACTCTAATTTTGTTAAATTTTGAAAGTGTGTTGTTTGATTCGAAATTGTTTTAAAAAGGCGTCTTTTTACGCTTTCATGACGAATGGGCACTGCCCAAAAAAA